TTACAATTTCTTTTTAGATGAGTGGACTGTATGAACGTAATTTGTGTGTTTTTATAATAACTATCGTGAGACATACTAAATTAACTAAAATTCGCGGGTTACTCACGTGTAAATGTTGAGAAAAGCTCTACTAGTTTCGAAACACAGAGGGGTTCTTCCTCATGAGCAGCGTGCGCAGACGCGGCGACGTAGGCTGCGCGACGTCGCCGCGTCCGAATTTTAGTTAATTTAGTAATTTGTGTGTGTGAAGTATGACTGTGTGCGTGTGTGTGCCACTAACTTAATGTGAACTTAATTTATTTAGACAAAGGAGAACATTACGAAATAGTAGTCTCTGTCTTCGGTGAATTTATGGGATTGGTCAGCAAACGAGCAGACTTAGAGATTATCTGATGGTAAGTAATCGGCGCCGCCCATGGACACCCGCACAACGAGCGTGTTGCCGACCTTTTGGGGATAACTCCAACACGCTCGTAACTCTCAATCCTTAAATATCTGAAACCCATAAGGGATTGAGAAGGGATTGTAGGAGGTGGAGGGGTTGAGCAACCTCACTAATACGGCGAAACACAACGCTGTGGTTGTTTCACGCTGGTTTTGTATGCGGCGGTGGTAGGACTCCGGTCGAGCCTACCCGTTCGTGCCGAAGCAATGGCTCTCCTTTACCTACCTATTGACTATTGTATCTTACTGACCTCTTACTTTCCAATGATTATAACATAGTGACAGAAATATGTAAAAACAAAGTGGTGTTAGCCTATGGCTATAAGCAAAATATAGCCGAAATACAATGGCTATCGCACACTATCTTTAGTCTATATTTGATCAAAACCAAAATAGCTCATGAAATATCGACTCAAAATCTAGGGTTATTCACCGTCTAGGTACCAAATTAGTGTTTATAGGCCGGCTGGGGGTTCGCCCGTGTTAAATCTAGACTCGTTACCTGTCAAATTGATGTTCCTAGACTCCGATAGAGATGTGTCCACTTGGTAAATGGAGTTGGATACTGAAATAATTTTGTTGTCTCACCAATTCTACTGTTTGATTTGTTTTGAAAATTGTATGTTTTTATTATTACTTATTATATATTATTATATTTCATCTTGTTGATAGTTTCCGTCGTGTCACTGGTAAGTAAGGGTTTTTAAACCCTTATACGACGGAAACTTTCTTCAGTTTCGTTTTAGATCAGACAAAACGTTTTTAACTTTGTTGTTTTTTTTTGAAGTCACGCCTGTCTGTCACAGACGGGGCCCTACAGGGCTTATGTTTAGCCGGAGTTACGGGGCAAGGACTTAGAGACGGAAAAGGGGTGGCTTTAAGCCAGTAAGAGTGATTGATATTTTATTATTTATGTACAGCGGGCTCGTTTATAAATATAATATTTCACATACACGTCACATCCAGTCATGTAATCCCAATCATGGAGATAGGTGTTCCGTGGTAGAATCCAACTCATGATCCGTTGCGCAGCAGTCGCCTCCCCAGGTATTGCGCCAAGCGTAGCGCAAGCCGTTTTTATACGAAGTTGCATGCACGATGAAAAAACGAATACGAAGCTTCTCATCTCCAGTGACAAGAAAAAAAATCTTAAGAATAACAAAATGCTGAGTCCAGATATTACCTAAATATAATATTGATTAAAATAAATAAACAAATTGTTTTGTTCTTTGTAAACATTGACATTTTCAATTGCACGATAAGTAAATAATAATTCAAAAGCATCACTTACTGTGCCCTGTCCTTCAACAGTAATAATATTACTGTACTTCTTCAAACTTCCTCCTCACAGAAAACCGGCGTGAAATAACCACTGCGTTGTGTTTCGCCGTGTGAGTGAGGTTACCGGAGGCCCAATCCTTCCCCTTCCCCAATCCCTCCTCAATCCCTATATCTCCAAATCCCTAATCCCTGAAAGGTCGGCAACGCACTCGTAACTCCACCGTTGCGAGTGTCCATGGGCGGCGCTGATTGCTTACCATCAGGTAATCCGTCTGCTCGTTTGCCGACCTATTACATAAAAAAAAAAAAAAAAAAAAAAAAACTTAATTATGATGTAATTTTATTTTCATCATCATCTTCCCGTCCTTGACCCGTTTTATTTGGGGTCGGCTCAATATGTTTTTTTCTTACATTCTGTCCTGTCACCCGTCACGCTATCGCTAACTCCTCTGTCTTCCATATCATTTCTCACACAATCCATCCATATTTTCGTTGGTCTCCCTCTCCCTCTCCATCCATCCACATTTATACTCATGGCCTTTTTTTGTAAAATGCGTTTTATCCCTCCTTTTCACATGGCCATACCAAGACAAACGGTTCCCTTTCAACTTTTCAGTCACTGGCGCCACTTTCAAACTTCCTCTAATATACTCATTTCTCACTTTATCCATTCTCGTCATTCCACACATATCCATCTCAACATTCTCATCTCCGCTTTTTTTTATATATGTAGGTATTTATTCCTAGTCCTATACCTACATTATAACCTAAACTCTTTTGTATCTACAGGTTGTAAGTTCAATGATATAACTGCTATTTGTTCCCTTTTTATAAAATAAAATTCACGAATCCACTGCTTACCTGTGACTTTAACCTTTCTAAAAGCAACCCTTATATCTTCCCATGCCATAAAAACCCTCAATGATTAATGAGAACAATGTAATTTCTGTCCATCCGCCATTTTGTTGACATCATTGTTACAAATGGCAAATATTAAAACCGTTGGATAAAAGAAAAGAAATATTACGGCCGCAGCTTTCTCTCTGTTATTAGGTTTCTCCTAACGTTTCCCGCTTCCTTTCTTCGGCCATATTGAATTTTACTTTTTTTTTAATCAGAGCAAAATTGTAGATGGAGTGATGCAACCTTTGTTGTTGAAATTTGAAATTGTTGGAATCAGAATCAGTTTATCTATATTTCACTAATAAACTCCTTATAAAAGTTTATACTTACTTAAGTTTTTAGTTAGGTGTAAAATATAACAATTAAACAACTATAACCTTTTAGAAGATATAATTCAAAAGAAAGAACAAAAAATAATTAAAAAAAAAATGACAAAACTGACAAATTGCATTTACTAAATATCATATACGTATTTACTATTTAAATAAAAGATAATTCGGAGCGTTCGGGAGCTTCTTTTGAAGAGGTTGGATTATTTTGAATCATCCTGATCATGACTACAAATGTACCTATATAAATATGTGTTTGTATGTAATATATAAGAAGTATACTTACTATATGTCATTTTATTATTGTTGCACAAATATTTATAGATATATAAGGGTGTACTTTATGTATGTCTATGTAGGTTTATTATATAGTCACAATAGGTACGTAAATCTAGCTTGCTTCTTGCATCTACCACTGGAGTGTCTCTGCATCACCCTTGGGTAGACTGGAAGAGAATGCTCTTTGCATTAAGTCCGCCTCATGCACAATTTTGGTTGTGCATGAAGTTAAAATAAATAAAATATAAAAAAACTAACAAAAAATAAACTTGAAGGAACGAGCTTCCTCCTTTTAAAATCGGCCGTCGGCAACGAGCCTGTAACTCTTCTGGTGCTGCAGGTGTCCAAGGGTGGCTCTGATAACTTACCATCAGGTGATCCGTGTACTCATTTGCCTTCTATTCCATAAAAAAATCAGTTTCTATTTAATTTCTTTTCATTTCGCCTTCTGGCCGCGGTGTTCCACTACTAGACAAAGGCCCGAAACTATTTCAGAACCCGAATATAGCCTTCATCCAACAACGTGTCAAGCACTACTTTCTTTTTATAGCCCTTTAGCCGCACACAAGGGCTACTGAAGTGGCTCTTGGCTATTCGGCTATTGAGAGGGATAGCTTACTTGGCACAATAATGTTACATACATATATTATGTATGTGTATGTATAAATGTATGAATTATTGTATTATATTATTCTGCTTGTAGTTTCGTAAGAGTGGGTAGATGTGTAGGTTTTTTTTAGTAAAGACATTACTAGATTTTTTTCTACGTCGTGGGTGCGTTACAAACATACAATTTTACATACAAATCACATCCAGACCTTGAACAACAATTTGTGGATCACACAAAGAGTTGTTCCGTGCGGGAATCTAACCCGCGACACATTGCGCGCCAGCTACCGCGCCAACCGTACAGTCAATCAATCGGTTTATGAGAAGTTTTTGGTCGTGTGACGCTCTCCTCCTCGCCTGATTGGAGGATTCTCCCTGTTCCTAACGTAAGGAACATATCACTTTTTTCTCTAAACACCTAACAAGAATCTCAAGATACGTTTTTTTTTAAGAAACAACAATGTCCGAGTTGGACACACAGATAAATAAACATTTATTTTTAGAGGAAACACACACTACAGTTAGTTGATGTGTTAATACATATTTTCGTCATATTACTACAAAACTTGCGCTAGCGCATCATAATCGGTTACAAAGGATTTACGCTTGGATCTTTATAGTGAGACTTTAAAATAGAGTAACGATATGTTTACGAATAAAACGTGATTCTGTTTGTTTATAAATTAATAGTTATGTGTTTTTAGTTATGTTATGGCTCTGGTTGTGTGTGCGTGTGTATTTTTTTCTCTGTTACTCTGTGATGTCGTCTGAGCGTGTCAAAATATAGTGTAAGCTCTCCGCTTTTCAATTGTTTTAAGCAAAATTTTGTTCACGTAATAATAAAATAAATAAAAAACATAAACCATACTGAATTGTTTTTTTTTTCTACAAACGTTGCCTGGTTTGGAGTTTTCTCCTGTGTCTTAGGTGTGTTTACTAATAAATAATTTTAAATACACATGACACCCTGTCTCATATAAACTATCACAGTATGCTCGACTGATTTCAAGCCACACCGGGATTCATGTTAATTCTTGAGTGTACAGCATGCGTTACGTTTATCCATGTGATGTACTATGTCTTCTAAAATGTTGTAAAAAACCGTATTTTTGAGAATAAAATAGTTTTCTAACCGTCTTCTCTCTTCTTCTCCAGGTACGGTGACATGGTACCAGGCACGATAGCTGGTAAGATCGTGGGAGGAGTGTGCTCCCTCTCCGGAGTGCTGGTGATAGCCCTCCCTGTGCCTGTCATCGTGTCCAACTTCTCTAGAATCTACCATCAGAACCAGCGCGCAGACAAGAGAAAAGCTCAAAGGGTACGGTGGAACATTCTAGAATATTTTGATAATTCTGTTTTGTTTCTTTCTTGTTTGAAAAATATGAGTACGGGTGTTTGCCTTCATGACTTAAGGCCAAAATAAGAATAAAATAGAAATATTCTTTTGACAGAATCTCCATACAAGGAATGTCAATAATCAATGTAAATCCACAAATTTTGAATCGAGGTTATAAATTTAAAGTTTTAGATAGGTTCCCCAGCCTAGTTGGAGCAAAGTGTGTTATCACAAACCCCATCTCTATCTGTCTTAAGATTATTTTATAGTTTCTGTATGGTTAATGGAAAAATTTACTGACTGGGAAACAGACATAATTTTTGAGTTGCGAATAGCTTTATATATTTTTTTTTATGCAATAGGTCTGCAAACGAGCAGACGGATTACCTGATGGTAAGCAATCAGCGCCGCCCATGGACACCCGCAACGGAGGAGCTACGAGTGCGTTGCCGACCTTTTAGGGATTAGGGATTTGGAGATTTAGGGATGGGGGGAGGGGAAGGATTGGGCCTCCGGTAACCTCACTCACACGGTGAAACACAACGCTGTGGTTGTTTTACGCCGGTTTTCTGTGAGGCCGTGGTATTACTCCGGTCGAGCCGACCCATTCGTGCCGAAGCATGCCTCTCCCACACTTATGTTTCTTAGTTCATCTTTATCCTACAAGGCCTTCTTTTTAAAGAATAAATTTAACCACTCAAAAAGCCTCAGATGTTGCGGGTGTCAATGGCACTGATTGCTTCCCAGTCGATCCATCTGCTGTTTTTGCCGCTTTTAAAGAGCCAATTCTTCATTTCCCTTCACACACCTCAATTTACTCCTTTTTTTGTGAAGGGAAAATCATCGAATGACTCCTCCCGCCCAGGGTCGGGCAGGAAAATGTCAGACTCTTACTGACTAAAAACCCATGTTCCTTCTCCTGCTCTGGACCGAGGTCGCGGAGCCTCATTGCGCTTACCACGCAACCCCGGCTGTATTTACTCCTAAGATTACTTGTATAATATCCAAATTAGTAGATTTCATCTATCTTTAACTAAAAGATAAGATTTTCAATTTTCATTGTTTCTTAAAAGATAAACATTCAAGTCATAATATTGCCTTATTCTAGAATGTCGTGGGTTTACGACCAGCCAATGTGTTTACACGCAGCCCTGTCGTGATTCCGGTTTTCCTGTCGTGACGTGACATTCGATATCATCTTCGGGGCTGTAAAATTTGATAGGATACGGCGTGTGTTTGGAAGAGGGTAATTTTTCCGTCGAGTATTTTAGGGGAAATTTTTGGAAGTGTGTGTTGAAGTGTGATTGCTTTGTGTGTTTCTGTTTTTCATAGAGGAAATTAATGGGGTTTTAGATTCGGAAATATTTTGTTATGCAGAGCTTGAATAAGTTATTTAGTAATAGCGGTGATTCTCTAGAATTTCATAACATATGTACAGTCAGGGATAAAAAATTTAATTCACTCTACCAATTTTAAAATGACTAAAATTTCTTTGTATTAAAAGTTCGATGGTTCACAGCCATTTAATTCAATAATTTAGATTCTATGCTATTAATTAAAGCAGTCCTCAACCATTGACTCTATTACACAAAGATATTTTGGTCATTTTAAAATTGGTAGAGTGCAATTGCATTTTTGACCCCTGACTGTACATTATCATCAGGGTTAATGTAGCTTTGAAAGCTAGGCTAAAATGATTTTTAAAAGCCGTACGCTGTATTTTAAGTTTATTCATTAAAAACAAACACATGAAATCAATTTTTCACTTGTTTATTATAAGTTTATGTAGATAATTATTTATTACCTGTTATCCGTTTAAATAAATGTCGAGTTTGGGATTAAGATTAATGAGGTAGGGTAAAACTAGCTCCATCTTTTTTATGTAGGTAGTTTTAAGTAATTTTACTTTGTCTCCTCAATTTGATGGGTCTTCACTTTAAACAATACAAATTTGAACCAATGAACCCTAAATGAAGAATTAAAAATACACAACAGTCACAAAAATCTATACCAACAAACAAAATCAGAACCGTTAACGATCAAATAAACAGCAAAAAAAAAACAACTGAAAATAAATCGGCATCACAAAATAGGCCTTGCCATCGCCGTAACGGTATCGAAAAGTGAAAAAAACCTCTCTTGGCAAATGAGGGAACATTAATAAGAAAGCCCACTTGTTGCTTTATTGACATGACATGAATTTAATACAAGTATCAGTTATTGAAAGGACGACGAAATATGCCAAGTAATGGCGTACTTTTTCTTATGGCATAGATCGGGTAACGAGCAGACGGATTACCTGATGGTAAGCAATCAGCGCCCATGGACATCCGCAACATCAAAGTAGTTACGAGTGCGTTGTCGGCCTTTTATGGATTACCACTTTAGTTGCAATCGATAAGCAGAGACATGGTCGTATTTGCGCAGGTTGATGACGAATCGAATGCAGTTCAATCGAATTCAGAAGGCGGTCAAGTTTGTTAAGTAGATCTGCATTCAGGTCGTAATAGCAGACATCCGCATAATCAATGATAGGGAACAACAAGGATCGAACAAGCATTGCCTTGGTGGAGGACGGAAGGAAATATCTCACGAAGATATATCTCACGAATCAAATATTTTGATACCTCTTGATATACATACATTCGTCAAAATAAAGCACTTTATTCTATGCAAATCAAAATGGCGTGACTTTTACCAAAACTATTCGATTTTATGGCTCTCCAAGCGTTTTTAGGGAGCATGTCAAATGTCAAGTTATATCCAGTAGCGTGACACTTTGACATGTATTAACTGTTATCACTCACTGTCACTGAGACTGGAATTTATTAACCGACTGCGAAGAAAGGAGTTTTTTTTATTGTATCTTCCTGATTGTGAAGCAGTGTGCCTTCCTGATTACTTTTTTTTCGCAACGAAAAAAATCAGAAGTTTATATCATAAACTTGGAAAAAAATAACAGTTTCCTCTTTCACATGGTCTACCTTACTGCCTACCAGCAAGAGCACCAATGAAATCATCGAGTTTCCCTCGGTTTTTTTAAGCTCCAACAGAGCAGCACACATAATGTCGTGGTGGTTAAGGAGCCCGCTTCTCATACGTGAGGGTGCGGGTCCGAAACCTGGCAAATACCAATGTGACTTTTTCCGAGTTTTACATATGTACTTTCTATGATTATTTAGACACCACTGACATAATTACGGTGAAGGAAAACATCGTGAGGAAACCTGGACTTATAATTACTAATTATAAGTTTGAAATAGCCAACCCGCCTTGAGTAAGCGTGGTGATTAATGCTCTAACCTTCTCTGTATGAGGACACTTATAGGCTGGGCACTTATAGGCTGATGATGATGATGATGATGATGAGAGTAGCACAACCTGAAAAAAATTGTGTGTCCTCAGGTTCTGGTCTTTCGTTTTAGGTCTTAGTTGTGTTGTAATTATTCTAAGACTTTTTTGTATGAGGTGCAAAAATACTCTAATGCCGCCGCCCTGAGTTGCAGGAAGTGTCAAACTCTTGAAGACCAAAGACCACCCCGTTCCATCTCTCGTGCTCTAGGCCGGAGCTTGGTAGTAACAGCCCTATTGGTCGCCATCTGTGGTGGTTAATTGGCATTCACAGAAGTCTTTTTTTTACTTGCAATAAACCCGTGCTTGACTGCGATCCCACCTGATGGTAAGCAGTGATGCAATCGTTGATGGTAAGGCGCACTAGTTTAGTTTAGTCTAGTTAAGAGCCTATTCACTCTAGCCACCACTCTAGACACCTAAATTATATTCGGACGGAAAGCAGCGGGCAAACTGTTCCAATCCCTCGATTTACGCGGTATAAATGACGAGGCAAATCGCTTACGTGTGCGGTATGCGACTGATTTTCAGACACCGTGCTTCCTACACTTACAAATATTATATATTTAAAAGTTTGTGAGGGTGTATGAATGTTTGTTTGTTATTTTTAACGCAAAAACGGATGTGTCGATTTGTATAATAAGGTGATACCCTGGATAACCGGCGTGAAACAACACAGCGTTGTGTTTCGCCGTATGAGTGAGATTACCAGAGGCCCAATCCGTCCCTTCCCCAAATCCCTCCCCGATCCCTAAATCTCCCAAATGCCTAATCCCCAAAGCGGGATTTAATTCAACAAAATTCTCTATTGTTGCGGTTGTCCATGGGCGGCGCTAATTGCTTACCATCAGGTAATCCGCCTGTTCGTTTGATGAACCATCACATAAAAAGACACATGGGCTTTTATAAACACTTATTCAATGAATTTGTAAGTCGTACTGGTCAATGTTTGACAAAATTATGAAATGGTAAAAGCAATAATTAGCTTAGTAATGGCGATTAGGCGAAAAGAAGATTGAATCTAAAATTTGGCTTCGTCAAACATAATTTAACCTTGACAACGGATCCTCGTTAACTGATAACCGCACAGTTAAACAAAAACTAGCAATGAAAATAAACATTTTAACTGTTTGTATGGTATTCATGCATAACCACACGCTAGGGTGAAGTCAAAACACATAATTCATACAATCTGGACGTTTAAATACACGGCCGTTAATTGGCTTCTGTAATACCCTAATGTTGGACGTAGAGGTTTTATATGTTCCGTTGGTAATGTGATTTTTACACGGAACGGTAGTAACAACCTTAAATAAGGTCCATTTTTGAGTGTCGCAGTGTAGATTTTATCAGTTTGTGGCTCATGCGTGTAATGTCGTGCTGGGCTATGGGTTAAGGCGCCTGTTTTTCATGCTGAGGTTTTCAAACTTGACAAATCCAATATAATGTGATTTTTTCTAGCTACTGTCCGCGGTTTTACCAGCTTCTTGGCTCCTACTTATCGAAGGGTGGTGTTTTATAGCCTATAGCCTTCGTCGATAAATAAACTATCAAACACAAAAAGAATCGTTCAATTTGAACCAGTAGTTTCGGAGATTAGCGCGTTCAAACAAACAAACAGCTCTACAGCTTTAATATATTATTATATTAGTATTAATTAAGGATACGAGCTTTGTTTAGACATCACTGAAAAACAGTTCAGGAAAACATACAGAGACACCTTTTTTGAGAGAGAAGCGTCATCATCATCTTCCTGCCCTTGTCCCGTTTTATTTGGGGTCGGCGCAATATGTTTTTTTCTTCCATTCTGTCCTGTCACTCGTCACGCTATCGCTAATTCCTCTGTCTTCCATATCACTTCTCACACAATCCATCCATATTTTCTTTGGTCTCCCTCTCCATCCATACACATTTATACTCATGGCTTTTTTTGTAACATGCTTTTCATCCCTCCTTTTTACATGGCCATACCAAGACAAACGGTTCCCTTTCAACTTTTCAGTCACTGGCGCCACTTTCAAACTTCCTCTAATATACTCATGAGAGAGAAGCGTTAGGAATCTTATTTCTTTTGTGAGGGGACAATCATCAAATTGCTTGTCCCGTCCAGGAACGGGTGGAAGGAGTATCAGACTCGTACTGACTCAATACCCCCGATCCTTCTCCTGCTTTAAGCTGAGGCCGCTATGCCTTATGGTTCTTACCTAGCAACCCCAGTTAATCATCAGCCCTGTAGGGCCTCGTCTGCGGTGGACTATTGGCTCTTTGAGGCGTGGACGGAATGCTACGCGCCGTAATCGTTAGGAACCTAGGAAGGATTTTTTATATTTTTTATTATATGTTATCGCCTTGAGCAGGCATGGTGATTAATGCTCCGTGTGTTAGAGGCATTTCTTCAGCAATGAGCACTTATAGGCTGCTGATGCGTGGATATGATAGAAAGTGTGGGCTGTAGACCTTATAGCCGGTCTCTGTGTCACAATAGTAACTCGATTTTCTTTCCACTGCAGCCTCCGGCAGCTACAGACGCCTTAATATTTGAATCCAGTCTCCAGAACTACATAGTCCAGGTTATATAATGACGAAGGTCTTTTTGCGTTCAGTATGCTTGATGTAGGGGCTATAGCTAGTTGTGTTTGTAATGTAACCTTTATTTCATTGGCATTCAAAGAAGAAATGTGTCTCTTATAATTGAACCATCTAGAAGATTCTAAACTGTAGAGAATAGGGAAAAGTAGAAAATTCTACTGTGCTGTACTTGCAAATTGGGTTTAAATTTGATTGTTCGTTACATTGTAGCTATGTTCATTTTAATGTTTGTGTCTGTCGCTAATATTATTCACATGAAAATTCATTAGAAAATAAACTGAAAATAAGACAGCCTAATATTCGGGAATTGATTGTAGGATCAGAGTAATTTCAGTTACAAATTGTTTTAAAGCATTTCAGAGGACCTACAAAATTCATCTCCCTTGTTCTTAAAAAAATACTAGAGCTAAATGTTCTTTTCAGAAACTGTTTATTTAATCAATATAACTCTCTAATTACAGAAAGCCCGTCTCGCGCGGATCCGCATCGCCAAAGCCTCGTCCGGGGCCGCATTCGTGTCAAAGAAGAAAGCAGCTGAAGCTCGACTGGCTGCGCAAGAGTCGGGCGTGGAACTAGACGATGCTGGAAGAGACGAAGACATTTTCGAGTTGCAACACCACCACCTATTGCGCTGTCTTGAGCGCACTACGGTGGGTGAAGTTAGGCCTCTTCCATTATTTAATGCTTTAATTCCGTGGCATGTTTGGACTTTCATGTCATGTCGATGTGGTGTTGTGTTAGTAGTTCTAGAATCTTTTTACTGTATCAACGTTTGTATGTCTGTCTGTTTGTTCGTTTAGTAAAGCGTGATCATTATGGATTTTGAGTATATGATTATTATCTTTTTTTTTTTAAAGTTTGTGTGTTGTGTCGTATCTAGTTGGGAAGGCGTTCTATATCTATGTACCTAAATTGAAATTAAAATTCACGTTAAATTTGTTGATGATATTGATATTGATATTGAAAAAGTTCGGTTTATAAAATGAGGTTTTTTATGACAATTGGAAACTTGGTTTGATATTTCCGGATATAGGGCCCTAACACATAACCCTACCTACAGGATCGAGAGTTTGTGGAGATGGAGAATCCTTTCAACGGTGCAGCCAAACGTGCAGGTTCGCCCTCACCCCTCGCGTCGCCTGCGCACTCCGGACGTGCGCCCGCGCTGCTTGCGTGCTGCGCGCGGTGCGGTTGTTGCCCCCAAAAATACCAGGTACCTGTCATCTAGTTGGTTTGTTTGTCTGTGTGTAGTTTTAGATGAGTTCAATTTTAATGACATGTTATTTTTAATTAGTATATAGTAATTTAATAAGTCACACATGTTAAGAAAAAGTAAGATGTGGTTCGATAAATTAATGATAAAAGTGTATCATAAATCAATGACCAAAGTTGGTTCTTTGGTTTAAATTGGGTGATTTCTTGAGTAATGGCACTCACGTTTCTATAAATATTTGTGCATAAATAAATAATTTCTTGTTGAAAAATAGGTGGTTGCAATTTTTTTCAAGAAAACTATCATGGTGTTTTGCTTTCAAACATTTTTAAATTATGAAAATAACATGTTATATACTACATAAGTGAACTCATCTACATAGTTACTGTTTGGTCCTAAAAGGGCAAATGTGGGAATGATTAGTGATAGACTGTGAACTGATTAGATTTAGATTAAAACCCAGTCTAACTGTGATGTAGGATAAGACATTACTTTTTATAGTTATTTCAAAATAAAAAAATATTCTTATCATTATAATTGTTGATAAAAATCAACAAATAAACAACTTCTACCTAATAATTTGATAATTAAAAAAACATAATTATAATTGGGTTCACTTGAACCCGATTACAAATAATTGGGTTCACCTAAGCGCAATTATAAAAAAGTAGTTATGAATAATAAAATTTTAGTACCTAGGTATACATATCATATAGTTATAAGCAGATGTATCACTGAAACGTCATATTGAAATCGCTGTACTCAGCGTTATTTTAAAGTTACTTAGTAATGATTTTAGTAACAAAATCGTTTCTAAGGGACAGTTTAAGTACTCCTTAAATATCTCTGACTACGGTAGTATAAACCGTTAACATTTTGATGTTAAATTGATCCTTATTTTAGATAAATTTATAATTCTTCGTTAAAGTAAAGCATGGTTACTACTCTAGCTACTTTACAGACTGTTACTAAAATAATGTGTTTTAATTAACAACTTCTCTATTTCTGACTGTTTTAAGTGTTTTGTTTTTACCTTCTTCTTTGTAAGCTTTTACAGCATGTTAAAAATATAATTGGTGGGGTATAAATAGTCTGCCTACCTTTCAATGGATTAATAGGCATGATGTTTTGTTGTATTCATTATATACCAACATAAAATTATGATAAAACAAAATCGATAGAAATAATTCGAAAATTTTATTTCTTTCTTTTTAAATCGCACGCTCATTTTAATTTCGTAATAAATATTATCGAAAAATGTGTTATATAAATAACACATTCTGTCTTTTGTTACGTTATTTATATGATTATATATTTTTTTAAATATAATTTCCACATAATTATACTATTAAAATGAAAATAAAAAACAGCATGCAAATTCCTAAATTTAATTTTAATTTTTAAATGTCAATTTTTAGAAAGCACATTTTAAATTTTAGATAATGTAATTTTTTTATCTTTTATTCAGAATTCAATGGTTATGTTATTTATGATTAAGATACAGTTTATTGGGATGATGATGATGATTGTTGATAACAGAAGCGTCATCGCTCAGTGCGGTGCATCAGTCCAATAGGACAGTTCGCGCCCAATAGAAGAGAGGTACCTATTGTGCTACTGGGCTAATCGCGAGCACTTGGTCTTTGTTGGTCCTTAATTATGATTGGGTTGAATTTGTTTTTAAAAGCTGTAATAAAATATAATTTGTTATACAATATTGTTACGTTGGTAAGCAACGTTGTCTTTATCTGAAAAAAATAGACTTTTTAATTTTATTTTAAGATATTTTTTTAGTTTTTACATTTACTAAAATGCTGTTAATAAAAGTAAAATAAAATAAAAAAAATCGATGAATGTTCAGCATATCTTTTTAACAACATTTTCAACCCAGACTTTGAATTACATTATTTCTTTAGACTTTCAAAATTAAAGGAGGTCTTAAGAAATAAGTAAAAGGATAATTGTGCTGTGGCTTTAATTGCAAAGTGTGGCTAGATCAATGTGACAAAAAGCTAGATGTGGTCTGCCATTCGCTTGGCAGAAAGTTCTGATTAACATACTCTATTAGCTTCGGCTTTTCTTTTCTATTTAAATTTATCTTATCTCATGGTTTTATATATAATGTTTATTATGTGTAAGCTAGTATATTAATCATAAGGATATTATAAGTCAAGGATTTTTTGTTGTTATAATACTGTAATAACTTATTCAAAATACTAAGCTGATATACCTCTTGGTAAGTATTTTAAAGGGAAAAAAATATATGTAAGCTGATTGTTTTATGTGTTCGCTAGATATTTAAAATGTTTCTATTAATTAAATTATGTATACATATTTGTTTAATTAACTTCGCTAGTCTATGTTCATATACAAATATACATGTATTATAAGTATTTATTTCACTCCCGACTTTATACACTTTCACAAAAATGTCTTTACCTATTTTATTAAGTACTAACTAAATTTACACAACACTTTATTGCTTTTTCAAAGCAACAGTAAAAAATATAAATATTAATTTTAACTTATTTTAATAAAATTACACAATTTTATTGAAATCATAATTAATTATAAAATTATAAACTAAAAATCTATTTTCAAAATTTATTTTTATTTTAAATAATACCCGCTGTTTCTTTTATTTTGTATCGAAGGCTCAGTATCAAATTGGCTCTGACAGGTCCTGCTATTAGACTCGAGTAGGAAGGGAAGGAAGGGCGGCAGGCGGTATACTTCGACCTCACGACCCTCCGACACCTCAGTGTCCGCTGCGCCCAGCGAAGACCCCTTACCAGTACGTGTGTGCAGCGTTAACATACAGCGACGATAAGCTACTAAAAATAAATAACTAAAATAAACTTCACAATTATCAAAAAAAAAAAATGCATAACTTTTAATTTAAAACGTTACATTATAATAAACTAAAAAATAAAAAACAAATTTTTAATTTCGTAAAAAATAGAAATTAAAATGTGTTTCAAAATAATGTTTTATGTTACATTAAATTAAAATTTTAATATTTTAGAATTGAAGTCGCTGTGTGGTAACGTTAGCTGTATACAAAAGAAAATTAATATGAGGCTTTAAATGTATGCAGGGTGTTGGCTGCCAAATTGTTGCTTTATAAATATGGTCCTATTGTTTCTTGTTCAATGTTGTATCATTGTTTATGGGCTTATGCTGTGGTGCCGTGTTGTCAATTATTTTTATATACAAATATATATGTACCTATAAAATATCTTTGTCTCCTTGTATTTTGTGAAGAAATCGCTTTATTCTCCCATTTTTGTTTCTGCAAGAATAAGGCGATGCAAAGTAGATCCAAGTGTTGTAAATGTATGTACCTTTAAAAGGATGTCGTCGTCTGTCTGTCCGTGTCTAACAGAATATTCGTTACGATCAAATGCCAACACACTGCACACATTTCAATTGGATAATTATTTTAATTGGCAAATAAATGAGATAAGTATTTTAAAAGCCAAAATTATGTTGCTGATCAGCCCCTCAAATCGACATCACAAAAACTGTTTTTAAAAACATGCGAAGAATTTTAGGTTTAATGAATATTTTAAATTGAGTCTTCAAATATCGAGATTCAGATATGAAACGCCATCTAACGACATCCATGGTAAGCTCAATGGTGAGTTTTACTCAGAAAATAACATTGTAGTAACATAACAATTCATAAACATTTACATAAATATCCTGAGGACACGTTATAGAAAACACAAATGATTTTTTATACAAAAAAAATAATTTTTAATTTAAAATTGTGTTTATTTTTAGTTTTGTATTTTTATTTTTAGTTACATCTCTGGTTTTATTTTATCATATCCCATTGTCATTTTCTATAACAACCTCAGTAAATCGATACATTTTACATTACACATTGGGTCTACATTAAAATAATTAAATGTATAACTTTCTTGTAAAAATTGGCATGAAATAGCACACATTTACTCACTACACATCAACGCTAGCAAACTATCACACTTTTATATTATTTTTACAACAATATCTCGATGTTTTAAATTATATTTGTTTTCGTATATGTGTTTTTCGTTCCGCAGATTTTCGGGGATTGCTTTTTACTGTTGTAAAGCTTTTATTTGTGATAGTAGATAGATTAGGTAGGCGTAGGAATACTTTCCTATGTATAAATATTGTAAGTAAAATGTGTTTTTATTGTAGTAATTTAGCAATATGTCTGTAATGTGTTTTAATTTTGTATTGTATTTTATGTTGTTAAGTAGGTATTGTAACTTATATGTATATGTGTACGATATATGTTGTTTAGTTTTGCTCGTCCCGGATACATTGGGTAAGACTTTAAATGTTGAAGCAAATTAAATACAGATTCAATAAAGAGATAATAATATGAAAATCTGAAGAATCTAAATCGCAGTAATAAGCTATTTTGTTTAGGTGAACATGTTGTACCTTATCACTGTAAATGCTATGCAATGAATATTATTGTTGAATAATTTTGAGGTATTCAAAATTCAAATGTGTTATCTTCTGGTTACAGCAAGCGTGTGGCAAATACATTCCTGCCGGGAGTACAGTGCAAGGAAACCAGACAGGTGTCGCGATGGATGGGACTTATTTGGTGGAGGCGTCCTTCTAGGGCCCGTCCACCACTCATATGGAGACCTATGTATAACACATGCAAGTGAAATAACACGGACATGAAAGCCTAGTTAAATACTAGCAAACAACGACGCGACGTCGTAACAACAATTATTAGAATTATAAATCTGTGTAACTTAATGTTCTAAGTCTAACACGATACTGCCTAACATTAATAAAAAAAATATCAGATTTGTATTTTGCAAGATTTTCGAGTGTGAGTATGGACACAGAGTTATACACTGTGATTTTCAAAATGGAATAGTCCATTTCTTGTTCCATTCCATTTTTAAAAGACTTTCTGTAGTGCCATTCCATGTTTCGATTATCGGAATGCGCTCTGGAATGGAGTTAACGTTTGGAAATGGAATGCATTTCTGGATTGTGACATGAAAGAGATGGAAGATGTTGAGATTGTGGTCTTTGTCGGTTCTTTCGCGTCCTCTCCGTGTAGTTTCTTTTATCCGTATTAGTAATAAAACAGTATTAATTAAGATTTTAAATGTTAATGGTGAACGGATAGTGTCTCGCTTCTTATAACAACGAGGTTTAATTATGTGAAAATGGTATTGTCTTTAGTCTAGTATCTTGTGGGAGGCGTTATTAGAAAAGACAACTAGTTTCAAATTTCAATATAGTCAATAGTTATTCGAGTCATATCAATATTAGGCAGTTAACTAGACGTACCGGTATGTTATGAATTAACTGTTCATAGTTAAAGTCATTGCTGGGGGTCCTAAGATGAAATTAGAGTGTAAATTTGCAATAGAGTACAGTCTAGTCAAGGTTGAACAAAAAAAAGGGTCAGAGCAAGGCAACGTCTTTTTAAAATTACAATTTTAATTAATATTCTTGGCCATCAAAGATGCCATATCTAGTCAGCAATAATGTGATCAAATTTTAATATTTTAACCTAACCTTTTTTTGTATTTTTTTTTTCTAATTTAATTTTGATGTAAACGGTGAAACATCGATAGATATTTTAGTACATAAATTAAATAATAGTTTTTATTAAATTTTAATTTTACTGATGGAAAAACTCTTCTTATATTTTTTTATTTTACTAATCCATCTTTTAACTCCTATTTTGCATTAATCAACAGCTTAAAAATAATTAAGTAGGTAATTAAAATTTATTTATAAATAAAATCAGGACCTTCTAATGACTTTGACCGTGGACTAACTCTCGAGGTCCCAAAAAATAAATTTTAAAAATTTAAAACTTTTTTTTATTTAATCACTAGAACTACTAGTGCCTTCGATATTTGTTATTTCCATAAAATCGTTGCTCTGTGTTAGTGAAGCGTAAATGTTAGTGTTTTAAACGGATGATGACGTCATCGAGACGTAGTGATGTGAAATTTGTAACGGACTTCAACGTCATGAGACGTAGTGAAACGAAAACAAAATGTGTTTAGGCTGTTAATAACGACGTCTAAACGTACTGTTGGTATTTATGGTCGTTTATATGCCGTATTTTGTCATAAAATAAACGAGCAGTGATTGAAAAATAAAGTTTTGTTATTTTATAATGATGTTATGTTTTTATTCGTATTTGTCGACTGATGTTCTTTTTTCGATTTTTTTCGTTTCTCGCTCATTTTTTCAATCACTGCTAATTTATAAATTTATGGCGAAGTTCTCTCCTTGAATGTGCAGACGACGTTACCGAATGTCATCAGTAGAGAGACCCCCTATCATAGATCAGTCTTATGATTGCATTAGTATGAAAAATGTTACGATATAGATAGAGAATTTATGTGGTTACATTAGAAATTTATTTAATTATATGTTAATAAATAGAAGTAAGACGAATAGTGTTTAAGTAAAAAATTTATTGCATTGAATGCATGATTTTAAAATTGTAGATATGTATTTTTTTCACCATGCTTTCTTTCCAAATGTGTCTTTTAAAATTATCGATAAAAAAATTAAATGAATATCGTGACGGGTCACGTCACTACGCGTTGGGAGACGCTTCGATTTTTAAATTAAAGTTTTTATTAATCAGTATAACTACTATGTATTGTAAATTATTTCTTACAAAAATTAAATTTTAATAAAAATTACTTCAATTTACTGAAGTATTATCGCTTGCCAGATTTATGGTCTAATAATAAAAATGGAAGAGGAACTTCCGATTTCTTTAAAATAATTCCTATGTAGTCTACTTAAATTTTTTGTAGACATAAGCGTTATTAAAAATATTCTTATACAACTATGGGTTCTAAAATGGTGCCTCCAAATTGAGCGGACCATTGAATCCTTAAAGAAATTTCTCGAAACACGTGAAGAAAGCATGGTTTTTTAAACAAAGTCTTTTTCGTTTTTAGTTTTTAATATTTATCGTAGTATTTATGAAACCGAATTCGATGTTAAAAAAAAGTTTCTTCCAAAATATTGCCACAATTTCTACTAAAGTGTATTGAGAAAATGTGTAATATTCAATAATAATAAATATTTGGTAATATCGTAAGTATGTTTAGAAGTCGAGTTATTTAAAATTTTAATAATATTTCTTTTCCTTTCGGTAAAAATGAGAAACTGATAATAATTCGTGGTGATAGAAAAAGGCGATGGCATTGTAAGATATTTTATTAGTTAAAAAATGAACTAATCCATTCAAATATAAAATTTATTACAAAATAAAATTACTCCATTAAAGTAATTTTATTTCAAATAATAATTTTGATTCAAAATATAATTGAGCGCTTAAACTCATTCTTATTCGGCTCATTTTTAACTCTGAATTATATTTTAAATTAAAATTACTTTTTAATTTTGTAATATAATAAATATCTTGCAGTGTATGCCAAAATAAATCGTGTTTGCTTAGTTTATGGTACCCTGTGATTCTATGGCTGTATTACCATTTTAATTGTATCAGTTTCATTTACTTGTCAAATTATTTAATTATGTTGAAGTGAAAATATTGAAAGTATAATTTTTAAAGCTAAATAAATTATTTAGCTTATTCACTGTGTTTTATTAATCGAACTTATTTTGTCCTTTTTCAATTTAACTTCTGTTAATTTTCATAAAACATTTTGCAGCTCTATCGATGTTGAAAAAAGTAATTTTTTTTTGGTATAAAAATATAATGCAACGTTACAAGAATCCAATGCATACTTAAATATGTGCACGGAATTATAAACTTAATTCATATTTAAAAAAAATGCACATTCTTTATTTTAATCCATCTGTTTTGATGACAAAATATATACCTACCTACTTATTACAAAGAAATATTTTTTTTATCTTGTTAAACAGTTTTTTTTCACTTCAACATAAAAAAATACAGACTTATACCAATTTTATTTGAAAATTTAAATTCAATATTTTAAAAAGTCTATCTTCAAAGTTTACGTTCTGTTATTTTTCAATTGTCTATCAAAATGTTTCTGTAATTATATTTCCTTTATTTTCCTTTGAAATAGATTTTAAATATATTACTCTGTTGTTATTATTATAAAAGTGTTATTGCGATGGCTATTCTGTAAAGTTTCTGACTCTGACAGAGTAATAAGGCTATGGGTATTACTTGTACAATGTACAGCATTTTGTAATAGGTACTTACACCGATTTTTAAATTAAGTTTATTTAGTAAAATTGCCATAGGTATCTTAAGAGCACTAATGAAATTCTTAAACTAAAAACGATATGCGTCTTAAATATTTTTATTTATTTTTGGCAGAAAAAGATTAATTATCAGAATATGTTTTTTTTGAGATGTACATATTACCTATGTGCACTTTCTCAAAACTGCTAAGATTCCATGATTTTTACATAAGTTGAGATCATCCTGTGTTTCATATCACCTGTTTGTGTATTATCAAATCCGGTTTCCGAAAGGCCGACCAACGTTAAAATCAACTTAATCCTTTGTCAAGTCATCTGATTGGTTGTTGATATTTCAGTCAACCAATCAGATGACTTGACAAAGGATTAAGACTTGACAAAAGATTTAACAGGAGATTAGTTAATTTTAGCGTTGACAAGCCTTTCAGAAACCGGGTGTTAATGAATGATGAAAGAAATCTAAATTCTGAAGGCTATGGCAGTAACACTTTTATTTACATAAACGTAAAATAATTTTTGAAAATGATTCACGATATTTTACTGTGTGTTTTTAAGACTGTGTTGTTTAAGTAATTTATATCTATTTAAAATGATGGCTATGCTCGGATATGTTTCAAATACAAGATAAAAATAAATATTAAAAAAAAATCTATCATTTTAATATATGTACTAAACTTAATAATTATATTTAGTACATATTTAAAAAATGAAGAAATAAATAAAATGTATTTAAAATTGTGCAACATTTTAACAACACAGACGAATGGGTTTATTAATAGAAAAAAATACTTTTTAAATTAAATTCACGATTTATAACAACGCAAAAATTGATATTAAAATTTTTATTTCGTCTTTTAAGGCTGGTTTTTCAATGATTAGATAAAAGTTACCTGGGGAATAATTATGATGCTGTCGCGTCCGAATGTTTGTATAAGACAGTGACAGCAACAATTTTATTCGTCATATAACATTTATTTGACTATTGAAATATGTGCCCTAAATCCGAGCACGGACCATCAAGTCGTTGTGAGTTGAAAGAAAGAAAGAAAGTACTTACGTGTCGTTGGACCAAAAATGGGAAACTTCGTGTGTTTAGAATTCTAGAATAATGTACGATCATACGATTATGTATTATGTACAGGAGATAATACGGTTTAAATTGCGGTTTATTTAAATTTTAAAACCATTATTTCTGATAATTAATTTAAGTATAACCTTTGAGTCGTGGTGATTTGAGACAGAATAGAATAACAATTGACAAGAGCGGGAAATGAAAACGTAATTAAGCTTTTTTCTATGTAGATACTTCCAAATAGTTAACATCACAAACTTATTTTACGTTTCGATAGTTCAGAACAACTCACTGAATATCTGAACCACTTTCTATGAAATTAGCGGCCGACTGAAGTACAGTTCTTTATGTGGGAGAGCCTTGCTTAACCACGATCAGGCGAGTCTGAAGTGAGATCATGGCGTCACAGAAAACCTGCTTTAAACAACTCCATTGTTTCCGTGTTGTTTCATTGTGTGAGTAAGGTTTTTAGAAGCAGAATTGCCACTAAAAACAACCAGGATTGTCGAGTGCATGTGCACTAATGAACCGCGTCTCGGCTTTTCAGAAGAAACAGAGTAGTACTTCTGCTCTCTCCCTTTCGTCCCACCCAGGGTCTGGAGAAGCCTCTTGATGATTTACCCATGACAAAGAAAACAAGAGAAGGGTATTCAGGGTTCGATTTTGTGACTGAGGTTATACCTACAGGAGGTAGAAGTACTCCAATAAGGTTATCAACGTACTTATTGTAACTCACACACACAACACACACACATGCACACAACACCATGTAAATGTTTCAGCTACACAAAGATAGGCCCAAATACACTATACAAAATTAATATAAATCTTAGAATAAAGGATTAACATAATAAACAAAACAAAACTTACCTCTACAAAAATAACTGTAAGGCTAAGAAAGTAAAAATATTCCAGGGGATTGGCGCTGTTAGCCGATGTACGGTCATTGCCACGTCATTGCCGGCTAAAAAATATTCCAGGGGATTGGCGCTAATAGCCGAAATGTGAGCATTGCCTAGTTCAGTTACAGACGGCTAACCAATGTGTATAGTGAGAATATAGCCTATGAAAAAAATTGTAACTCGAAAATAAGTTTTTTGAAAGAAACCTTATTACTTATTATTAAAAACCTCCTCTGGTGTTGCGACTGTTAATAGGGTGCGTTGATTAAGTACTTA